CCCTACAAAGAGTTCCGGAGCAGAGTTCTGCACTGTAGGACACCACCAACCACCAAAGTGACCTTTGGGTGCTACCTCAAGAGCCAGTCTCACAAGAGACAGCAAGATTTTATCAAGACAACTTTGGTTACAGTAAGACACAAATTTCAGCCACTGTCTTTGACAGAGGAAGAACCAGCTGGCAAAGCAGAAATGAATTCCAAACAGGTTTGTAACATTCACAGCTGAGAAAAAAATAATCAAGTACTTAAACAGACAGCAGACGACACATCCTTTTTGCTTTTTAAGTCAACATCCAGCAATATAACAGCTTGTGGGCTATCAAGGAAGAGGAACCATAATCTTGACTCATTTCCTCCTACATGAAGTGGTGCAGCAAGTTCATCTGGGGCAGGTTCCAATACAGTTCAGCATGGGTTAGTAGGTTAGTCTGCTGTTAGTGCTTTTCATGTCTGATAGCTCAGCAAAGGAGATTTTTATGCCAGCACCCTTTACAGGCAGAAGCAGAGGGACCACAACTGCAGATGTTATATAAGCTAACAACAACAGACAAGGAAGAACTTTGCTCCTATTGATTTTTACCCAAGGATGTGGAGCTAAACTTTGCATACAAAACACATTTGCAATCCCAGACTTCACAGAATTAAAATTTCAGCTACTTTTGAAGACTTTACCTAAGAGAAATCTAAACAATCCACATTTATTGACATAATGCCCTAAATTTGCCAAGGTAAAGTTTATGGAAATGCATACTTTCAACTTATTCAAAGAAATTGAATTATTTGAATAATAAACTTGTACATACAGCCTTATGAGATATTTTGGAAGAGAAGCAAAGAGATGGCTGCTTGGTAGAAAATTATCCTTTATAGGGCATTGTATACTCAAAAATTACCACATTTAAAGTAATTAGTACCATTTTAAAAGAATATTCAATATTTATGTGAGATTGCAAACATCCTTAAAATCAGCTGAGAAACTCAAGGGAATATAGATGACTGATACAGCTGACAAAAGAATACTCTAAGTGGAGACAGACCTAAATACAAGTGAAATAATGTATGCAAAACTGTCTTTTCACTGATAAGCAATTTTACTTCAGGCATTAATTAGAAGCAATTTGAAACAATACAAAAAACCCCATGAGCTTCAGGTAACAATCATAAGGCAACAAAGACTGAAAAGCTAAAAACCTAAAAATAGTTTGTTTTTAATCAACTGAACATTGTCTAGTTTGGAAGAACAAACTGCTGTTTTTCAGCAGCTCTGTCCTTGGTACTTCACAGTATTAAAATACATGGATTTCTCTGTTTTAATAAAAAAGGCATGGAAAGAGATCTCAGTTTATACTTCTTTACTAACCTATGAAACCTACCTGAAATTAACAGCGTTTCATAGCTTTGAGGAGCTGGCTTTGAGATTTATTTGTAAAAATTGCAGTGCAGTCTCAAGACGTCAGAGAAGTTCTTTATAGAAGGCCACTTTATATGTGTTTTGCAAGTACAAACTGCCTCATTAAAGTCACATTATAACACGCTCTCCATCTATAGTATAAAACAACTGAAACCCTTTCTGCTCTGAAATTGCTATGGAAATCTCAAAAGCTTTCAGAGTCACTAGGAATTTACCATATGAGTTTTTCATGAGAGCTTCAGAAAACAAGCTTCCAAACAAGAATTCAAATCCTCAGCCTGAGCTCAAGTTGCCTAAATTCCAGGTCACGGATCCTATCTTCAAGACAGTCTGGGTCAGAAGTTATTCTGAGGTAAAAGCTACGCATAAGTTTCACTTACACTTATTTGGACCTGAGAAAATGTCAACAGAACAAACCCATTTTAACCAATATCTAAAGTAGTAATGAACCACCAACCCAATATTAATGTTAGCAAGAGCTTCCCCCCCCCCCCCCCCCTTTCTTTTAATAACAAATAATAATAAAAAATTTTCTTATGTTGAACAATGTAGGAAGAATCCTACGTTGGCTGATTGCACTTAGATTATGCCATCAGTTGGCTCGTGGTTGTCGATTACTAAACCGAGCCGGATTGTACTCAAAGCACAACTTGTGCTAACTTTAGGCTGAGGAAAGAGTTCCCCCCCCCCCTTTTCTTTTGTTATAAATAAAAATAATAATAGAAAATTTTCTGCTGGTCTCTAGAAGTTTAGGAATTTATTTAAGGTTCCAGAATTTACAAGTCTGAACACTATCAGAAAATACATGTTCAGAACCAGACAAACCTTAAAATGGAGATTATGCAACTATGTAATCTAAATTAATGCAGTTTAAATTGTCCTAAATGGCAAAACCAGCTGTAACTCAGAGCAATAAGGTGTAACAGCCAGGAAATAAAAAAATACCACTGAAAGCAGCCATTCATCTAATATGTTAAAATCTCTAGATTTTTATGCCAACTACTAAGCCAACCTCACATTTAATTTCTTGAAAAAAGAGAGATCATCAAATGCTTCTATTTATGTAGTTTCTCTCTTTGATTGCTACCCATTAAAAATTGTGAGTTAATTCTTAATAATTTGTTTCCCGATCAGATAGCACTTTGATTTGTTATTGCTGTGTGAGAACACTGGGCTGCATGTGCCAATTATTTTTTATCAAATGCTGAGTGCTAAGAAAAATTAAAGAGCATATAAGAGTACAATATACTTAGGATATATTAAGGTCAAAACACAGTAATTAGAAATGACTGTAAGGGTGCTTTTTTCCCCCCCTAAAGTTCTATTAAAAGACTGTTTCAGCTTCAAAGCCACATACTAAAAACCAGAAACTGCAAATCTAACTGACCTCTTGTAAGCACATACAAGACACATTTTCCCATTACAGTAGTTTTCATAAAAGCCTCCCATAGAACTGCATGCCAAGGATGGGTTGAACTTGCAAGGGGGCTCTTCAGAGTATATGCTTAAAATAACCAATTTGTATGTGGTCTCATAATATCAAAGCCCACTACATTCACCACCTAGTTTTCATGCTTGATATGGAAGTATCCAACACAGGGAAAGACTACAGAAAAATAAAAAAAGCAAAATTTTCCAGTTTCTATTGGATAACTAATGATTTTGTGAAGCTAAAGAAAAAAAGAGGAGAGGAGAGGAGAGGAGAGGAGAGGAGAGGAGAGGGATTCTATTGCATTCAAGATAGTAGTTGAATGGTTATTAAGAACTAGAGACCCTCTTCTGCATATGCATACATATACGCACACCCTCTGAATATACTTTACTGTCATAGGTATATGTCAGGTAACTTCATGCCCATATATTCCCACCAGCATTTCAGTTAAATTCCTTTCACACCAATTCAGTAGAATTCCAAGCAATTTTCTATTCAACAGAAGTGAAGGTTTGTAGTCATATACTTCGTATATCAATGGAAAGCTGGAAGATTATCAGCTTATTCTGAGAACACCAGAACTACTGAAATCTGATTTCTTTTCTACCCGTCTTTATCGCACAACCCCCGTCCCTCTTTCTACCCTGGTATTAACTTCAGTTTCCCTCTATGACACAGTCAGTGAGTAGGAGAGAAAAGTACTGTATAGGCATACAAAAAATTTTAATAGTTATAATTTTCATCCCCAAAATGAATGGCATATGAGAAATTTAGGAGTATCACTTTTTTTCCTACAATTTTCTGATGGGTTCAGAAGTTATTTTAAAAATGTGAGCAGAAAGGAGTTTCTTCTTAAAAATATGCTTTTCACACTCTCCGTTGCCTAATAGACAAAAAATTACGTGCATACTGTGTATGCTTGTAATTGTATGATTATTTAAAATATATATATTTTGAAGCATGAGTTTGATTTTGGAACAGAAATTCTATCACTAAATTAGTTTGAGTTTCCAGTATGTTTATCAGTAAGGCAAATTAATGAAATGGTCAACTTATTCCTTGTTAAACAACAAAAAAGGAAGAAAAAGTCTATTATGGTAAACTTATCTTTCAGATATTATAAACAATCACTTTAAACTAGACTTATAGGCAGAAGATTGTTTATTTATTTATTTAAAGATGATTACTATTGGCGTTTAGTTTTTGCACATGTTGTTTCTCTCACATACATACCTTTCCACTGCACACAGGACTTTATTTTCACACTACTACCTAATGAACGGCGGTCACTGGGTTTTGCTCTCCACATACTGTGAAACAACAGCATGTGGATGTTGAAGGTGATGAGCCTGATGGCAGCAGAACCCCGCTCGGGGGGCTGGGGCTGGGTGGGTGATGGCAGAAGGGAAAGGACAGGCACGAGCAGCAGTGCTGAGCAGGGAGAGGGTGAGAAGCCCAGCCAGGACACCTAAACAATGAGCCCCCTCTGCGCTGGAGCACACAGCAAAATCACACTTCAGGGAGAAGCTTAGCACGACGCTAGCTTCTGTGTTCACGATTCGGTATGTTAATGAGTTGGGAAATCTTTTTCCCCACTGCATAATTAATTTGATGCTCATGGTATTTATTCTTTTACCCAGCTACAGCAGGATTCAAGTAATTAGCTTTCCTGAACCTACATCAGTCACAGGAGAAAAATATTTTGCTGTTTTAACATTTTAGACCTTTGGAGCTAACCGAGGGGTATTGGCTTTTGCTCGGAAGTGCTTACACCCACTCTCCCCACGAAGTGTTACTCAGACTTAAAAAAAGAAGCCTAAATAACACCTCTATATTTTAGCAGAGTCAGAAACAGATGGAATGCTACTGTTGCCAGCTCATCTATCTGTACTTTGTTCAGCGTGAGTGTGTGGGGTTGCTTCTTTTAAAGCAAACAGATCTGTAAGCTTACCTTCTCCATACTCAATGCATGAATATACGATAATGTTGACCAAGAAAAGGTTGTGTCCATCCCATAGTTTAAGGAAACGATCAATGAAACGACTATTACAAAGCAACAGCTAACATCACCTCCATTTCCAGCAAGCAAATCAATAGCTCCATTCACAACAGGTTTCACAGACGATCCAGCTCCAGGAAGACCACGCATACTTACAAATTATAAAGCATATCAGCCATGTTGCTGCGGTAGTACAAGGCATTTCTATAGGCGCTTTCAGCTTCAGAAATCTTGCTCTGGCTCTTGAGAACATTTCCAAGGTTACCCCATGCTGTCAAGAGGAGAAAACAGTATTCAGAAAGAGCTACAATCCAATTACACATGACAGAGTATCTGAGTATCAGGAAGTTCCTCAGGGAGACAAACCCCACAAAGAAACTATTTTTATAGGAGATGAGGGGAAGTTGGTTGGGTTTTTCACCCAGTTCTCTGGATCTCTGTATCTTACTGTGAGAATCACATTCTGTAGTGGTGATTTGCATACATTCTGCATCCATACAGCATTTGGGTGGGAAAAGGATCTTTAAAAACAAAAGATGTCTCTATGCTTTAGAAACTACTATAGTAAAGGGAAAGGACCGTTTCATTTTGCATTGCCTCTAAATAAAAATCCTCAGAGTAGAAAGTGGAACTGGGGCATCTTCATAGTTTTAGCTTTTTTTTTCTAAGCCTACCTATTCTAAATAGACTAGACTTCAGCTCTCATTGAAGTATGAAAACTGACAAATAACACAGGAATTGAAAGAACGGTTAGGTAACTAACCAGGATTAAAAGTATGCCATATGGATATAAACATACTACACAGATCACTAAAACACGTTTTTTCTACTTGGAAAACATGTGGTTCCTTTCCGTACAATTTATTATGTTATACAACGTGCTTTTATTTCCCATCTATAAAGGACTTGAGGTAAAAATATATTTAAGGCTCCACATGTGTTCCCTTTGCAGTTTTGTTGAATGACACAAAAACTGCACTTACAAAAGAAACTGGAACGAATGTTTTATAGAAAACACAGCCCACGTTATTCACAATTTAGGAAGCTAATTTAACTGGCATTATAATTATGGTCTATGTGTATACAGGAAAAAAACACATTATGCTTATAAATACATCAAAGTTGTTTCATAAACCAGTTCTACTTTCACAAGTAGTTTTTTTATGAGCAAGAATAATGGAAAGATGATGCATGTCCTTTCCACCAAACACACAATATATAGCAAACTATTCCTCCCTCCAGATGCACTAACCATAAACATTAGCTCAAATAACAGTTAAACTCTGCTTCTTCAGTTACTCAAGCCCTTTTCTTTACAGCTTCTACAAATTCTTACAGGAATTTGTATCAATCCTGAGTAATGCAAACTTTCAATGTAGTTGTAATGTAACACTGCTAAATAGGTTGACAATTATTTCAGATATGTGGTTTTTTTCCTTAGAATGTGCATTGCTTTCAAGCTGTTGTGTTTTGCTGCAAAAGCATCCTGCCACAGGGATGGAAACAGGCGCAAACACACCATTTTCCTCTGAGCAGAATAAACTAATCATTGCTGGAAAAAAACCTGATGGTAACCTTTTAGTATTCACAAAAATAACGTCATCCAACTGTGCACAACATATTTTGTAAAGACAAAGACAAAAATAAATACAATATTTCCATGGGAAAAGAAGCCATCACTTCTGTGAGTCACTTCATTTTAGCCTAGCATTTTATAAGATAAAAAATCATTCAGAAGTTATTTATGACTTAATTGATAAAAAGTCACAAGAATGTTCTGTCATTTTCTTGTTTAATAAAATAAAGCTGTTAAAAATATTCTCAGATTCACTTGATTTTTACACTCTTTGCTAGCATATATGCAGAGTTTTGAATTTTTTCCCCATTACTGCTACTATTGTTTTTTACAGGTAGAAAACATTTCAGAAGCAGCAATTAAGACGGCTAGCAGCTTGTAAGCATTAACACTTATAAAAGAAACAGATATATTGTTTTTTAAAAACTCATTTGTGAAAACACACTCTGATGGTGCTGCTGCAATACATGACCATCCAGTTTCCCACAGTTGTATGTTCCATATAATCTGTAGCTACTTTTGTTTTCACTCCAATCTTCCACAACAGAGCATTGCATCAAATGACCACTTGGGCCACTGACAACAATTTCCTGCTATATAGTTACTGACTCCTAACCACTTTGAAGCTCAGTAAATGAAAGGATGTATAGAAGAATGGTTTGGTTAATCTTTTCATCTATTAGACTGCAAAAACCCTATTAACATTCTTAAATGTATTGGTTTCTCCTCTGGACTTCATTTCATGCTGCACAGTCTATTATTTATCTAAGTTAATATAATTTTTAAGGCAATACTCTATTCTACATTCTGCAGAACAATCTGTGCAAAGATTCTAATATCAATCAATATGTAATCTGTGTTATTTCATTTGAAATGTATTCCATTTAGACTTTTGTCAAACTTGTACAGCTGCAAATGATTAATTTAACTTAATGTGATATACTAGAAGTGGTAGTAGCAGAAAATAGGAAACATAAAACACGATAATCTCACAATTTATCATCAAAAGAAACATGAAAAACAAGGTCTTTTTATTTCCCTAACCTATAAAAGCTTGGTATAAATCTTCACCTCTATTTAAATACAGAATTAGGTAGATGAATGACCTAGTTCTGGCTTGAGATGAAGCTAAATGGAACATTTTATAGAATAAATGCTTATTTGTAGAGATGATAGTCATAGCCCTAGAAGTCATGAACAGCTACCATGTGCAGCAATCACATCCTCCTGGTTGTTGGTATATTAGGGACAGAAAAAGAGGATGGTCTACATGGAAAAGAGGCTACTTCAGCTACTAAAGGAATTTCACTCCTTTTTTGTCTTAAGTTGTGCAACTAACCTTAGGAAAAACAAATAATTTCAATTATTAACTATATCTCTGGCATAGAATTTCTCAATCCATATCTCATGACACATTTCTCCTGCAAAATTGTAACAATTTTTGTTCAACTATATGCGCATTCAGAAACAGAAACAAAATACATGAATGAAACCACATCCCTATTAAAAACATACCCTATGACTACGACTAAATTTCAGCACTCAACTATTTTCCATCTGTACATAGCGAGAAATTAAAAATTAAAATTCTCAAAAGAAAAAGAAACTAGGTCAGTAATTCTAGAATTTAAAATGGAATTTTATTCCACTTGTTTTATATTTTTTTCATATAAAATCTGTAATATCTGAAATTGCAAAAGGCAACATTTAATATTCAGAAGATGCTAAAGTCTATTTATACACTACAATTTAATCTTTAATTACAAATTCAATTTTTCCCCTGTTGGAATCCTATTCAGCACAAGAGAAAAGGCAAGCTGTGAATGAAGCAGCTTTGTAATATTTACTTTCTGCCTGGTGCTTAATTCCCTGTGCACCAAAAACAAGAACAAAGCAGTCCCAGGTCTTTTAGAAATAATACTCCTTCATAGCACATGAACAAAGGTAACATTGACATATCTCACACACCTACAGAACAATCAATCCATTCAAACTTCATTGCTTCATTGCCTACTTGTTTTCCATAGATCATACTCAATATAAATGGGCATATTAAAAATTCTTTTTGTCATCTTGTATCCTAAGCCAATTATAAACCAAAAAATCTCCTAACGCTTGAGAATTCCTATGTGATTTACCTTTCTTTGCAGGAAATGGAACATTTTAAAGGGGTTTTGTTGCTGCTGTTGTTTTCAAATAAATAGCAGGAAAAATTATGTAGCACTAAGTAGAAAAATAAGCAATTGTTCAAGTGTTACACTTTTGGCTGTATTAAACTAGATTTCTATTAAACTTTAAAGATGACATTTATGCCACCTTGCAGTGAGAGCAGGTCTGGTTGTCAGGCATTTAATTGCTTTCAAAATGAAAATGAATATGATAAATTTGAGCTTCAAATTTAACATGATTAATTTCTCAGCTATCTCATTGAAACTGAGGATTAAGATTTAACAAGCCTGAAAAATACCAGGATGGCATATTAAAATGCTATCATTCTGGAAGACAGCAAGACAAACAACAGTGAAGCAGGAACAACTTTGTCCCATCTAATCATCTAATCTACCTGGATTTAAGAAGTACATCCTACTAAACAGAACAGTTGAAATTTCAGCTTGCAATTGAATTATGAAAACAAATAAGAAATGGAAATGAATGTGAGCAAATACCTTCATTGAAATAAATCTTTCCCTTTCTATTGAATCAGTAGAAATCTGCTGCTATTCAGTGAAATGGAAATACATAGCAACAAGGTAAATGTTGATCCCATAATTTGCTTTAAAAAAAAAATAAATCACAAATCATGAACAAAGATAACCTGAAGTATTAGAGAGGGAGTCTCCTTCCTACCTGTCACCCCTATATAATCCATGAAAAATGAGATGATAATGAAAACTATTTGGAAACTCACAACCTATTAACATATGTGCTGTCAAAACACCTCTTCTGAAACATGGGAGAGGAAAAAAATCCAACTAAAACCCCCTATTACATCAATTAAATACAACCTGCCAAACTTTTAAAAATAATATAGGAAAGAAAAGGCTAGTGCTGTCTTATGCCAGTGGGCAAACATAGTCTTTTGTCAAACTTACTAGGAGCAAACATACTTGAAAACCGATGAAATAAAATGTAGGACTCCAAGGTAGAAAAACTGCTGCACAACATTCACAATTCACATCAACAAGTTACTGAAGTTTTGTAATACTGCGCTCACCTTAAACTATCAGACTTGTTCACAAAATAAAAGTTAAAAGACAAATTGATGAATGCATCAAAAAATGTGAACTAGATTATCACTTGAGTGAAACAAACTACTTGAACAAAGACTGAAGTATTTAGGGAAGAGCCAAGTCATTTGTAATCAATTTGTCAGCAGTTCCAAACTAGCAACTTCAGTTCACAGAAAAACATCAAGCCAAGAAAACTTTACTGAATTTTACAGATATTTGTGCGTTATTTACTACTCTTTAGATCATAAAATTAGTAGCAGCTGTTCCAGGTTGCATTCCCTGTCTTTACAACCCTTCCGAATTTCTCCTGACCCACCTATTAAAAGGAAAATGCATAACAATTATAATTTCTATTTTTTCATGGAGTTTAGGTTAAAAGATGCTGGGCCAGAAAAAATAAAGCCTTATTTTATATATATATATATATATATATATATTATCGCTATGACATCTGTTTCTTGGAAG